AATAAAACCCCAAGGGCATAGCTCGATGCATTTGTGGTCAATAGGAATGGTTTCGAAAAATCTGGGTACTGTAATATCGGTGGGTTTAATAATTTACACTTCAGTGTATCGAATGCTTTCTGGCATTGATCATTCCATTGGAAAACTGCGTTTTTCTTCGGAAGATCATTCAGACTTCTCAATATCGTCAAATTTAGGTATAAACCTTCTGTAATAATTACAAAATGCCACAAATCGTTTAACTTCGTCAGCATTCGTATGTGTCGGGTATATCTTTATGATATCATCTTTTGCGGGTTCTGTCCTGATACCTTTATCTGCAATAAGATGTCCCAAATAGACAACCTCTGGTTTCAAAAAAACAACACTTATTCGCATTCAACTTTAGGTTAAATTTTCGTAGTCGGAGGAATACATCAATAAGGTTATTATTATGATGCCTCAAACTGCATCCATAAACAATGATGTCGTCCACATAAAGAAACGCGGAAGCATCCAAACCTGTCATTGCTATGGTCAACATTCTTTGGAAACTGTTGGATGATATTTTTATCGAATGACAGTCTCTTAAATTGATAATGGCCATTTCCTGTTGAGAAGGCAGTTAGAGGACGTGATTCCTTTTTGAGGCCTACTTGATGGAACGAACTGGTCATGACCAGCTTTGAGAAATATTTGGCCCTACCCAGCTTATCTAAAACGTCTTCCAACCTTGTCAACGGAAACTTGTCATTGACAATTTTTTCATTCAATCTTCTGTAATCAACAACCAGGCGCCATTTTTTACTCCCATCTGTACTCTTTTTTGGTACTATTAATAATGGCAAATTATATGGACTCACTGAATCTTCTATTATATCTTCCTTAATTAACTTATTTACGTGCATGTTTATCTCTTAAATTTGAGACTCTGGTAATCTTTAATTCTTTATATATACGGGTGTGCTATCTGTAGTTTGTATGCGAAGTTCATAATAATTGTTGACACTTAACTTCTCACCTGTAATGTGAAAAATGTCCTGGAACTCATTTATAATGGTTTTAACTGTCTCTCTGGCATATGTGTCAACCGATCCTATATCCAGGCTTTCAAATAGTGCATTCGCTCTTGCATTGGTATTTCTCTCATATTTATTGTTAGCGTAATACACATCGTACTCTCCTAAATTCCTGATATACAAATTTATACCTTGTAATTCAATAGATATACTATTAGTGTTCAAGTCCATTCTGGGGTATTAAACAATTAGCCACTTCCTTATTCAGTATCACGCTATACTCTTTTATCTTCAATTCAATTGGAATGATAACCTCAGATCGCGCGGGCAGAACAATGTTATTTATTTTATGTTTTGAGTGTAATGGTAATATTGAGACGTCCGCCCCCGTGTCAATCAGAAATGTTAAATTCTTGCCTATGGTTGTGCACCTCAGCGTTAAATATGCCATTGATTTCAGTGAAATATTGTAAATCTTTATATTTAGTCTTCGTGGACAATTTCTTCCGTCATCCTAAATTGGACACGTGTTGTAAGTGGCCGGCCTTCGGCCGCGGCTTGAGTTTTCTCCTCTGAGTATGTCCCTCGCCGGCTAATGCGAATCAAAGTTTTCTAAATTTGACACTTTTTGTAAATAGCCGGCCTTCGGCCGGGACTTGATATTTTCTAATCTGAATATGTCCAACACCGGCTAAGGCGAACCAAAGTTTTCTAAATTGGATACCTTTTGTAACCAATGACGGCTACGCGAGATAAACTTTTTTACTGAAAATATAATTTTAATGAACTGGTTAGAATCGGGTTATGCGGATGGAAGGACACAATTCATTAATCTCTGCCATCTATATATTATAATTACTAAAAATATATTCATTTATTACAAAATTATGTATTACAAAATATTTCTTCAAATATATTTACTAGTGTGAACCCCCCTTACGAAATCAAAGCATTGCAATCACCAAAGATTAATCTATCTCATTCGAATCAACTCCGATTGTGGTTACTGGTTATTATTGTACCCGACTAGTTGTTATTGTTGATAAATGTGATAATTCCTTTTCTATAGTTTCTACTTCTTAATTCTTCTTATTTTTCTTGTGGTTTTTTACTATTCCTTGTAATTCTTAAATTTTTATTATTTTTAGTGCAATAATAATAATAAGCAATAATTATAGCTTAATTTTCCCATAATTTTAAGATTTTAATATTTAAGTGCAATAAATAATAGTTTTTATAGGGTAAAAACGTCTATTTAATAAAATAAATTTTTATTTTCTACTTCGTAATCATTGTTGTGTTTAGTTTTACTTCATTAATTTTTTCTTTGTTGCATTTGTGTTTCAAAGTCGCCCACTAGAATCCATAGTTCGGATGCAATGTGCCTCGGTGGTGGAGGATCAGCGTAAATAGCAGACTTCAAACCAGCCAATCGTCTACGCAATCTCACGATCTTACCACCTCTTCTAAGCTTTGGCTTCTCTGTTGATGGATATGTCATCCTTCTTCCTTTGCTGTCTAGCCAAATATTCTTTTATGGACAGACGGGATGGATCAGGAGTTGTTGTCGCTGGAATCTCGGCTTCCACTGGTAATCTTTCCAAGTCTGGCAGGATCGCCATGTGATGCCCACTACTCTGGGAAGTTATTTTTAGGCCTGCCTAATATTTTAGCCTGCGCTTAAAAACGCCCCTGGCTGCAAAAATTGAGTTTTTTGTATTTTTGCCGGCACAAAATAATGTCAGCGGCAAAATATTTATGAAGTACTTTATTTAGTGTTAAAGAAAAAAAAAAAACGTTTTAATCTTGTGCCAACAGTTCGGCAGTTAAAACTTAATAGACTTTATTTCAGAATTATGTTGCCTTATAAGTTATTATAACGGTGTTTCTTAATTATAATTTTTATCATCTAATATCCTTAAAAATAAACAATAAAAAATAATTTCTGAAACAAAGCAAGACTTAAGATAAAAGATGTTTGGAAATTAGGAAGATAGGGATCTCTAGTTCAGTGTATCGATAACAAACGATTACACTACACCCTCACCCTTTAAAAAAATAATTTTTATGCAATAAAAATTATGTAACAGTCTTTGCATCTTTCATCTCCATGGGAAAAGCTACAATATATTTTGTTAGTTCGCATTGTGCTGTGAGAACATACTGATAGTTCCCGGATATTCTAAGGGGGCCTACAGTGTCTACAGATACGATCTCAAAGCTTGTCGTTGGTGTGTCAGTTTTCGAAAAACGTTCTTTCGAATGTCTAACCTGTTTATTTAATTTGCACTGTGGGCAGTTCGAGACGTAGTTCTTCATCATTCTGTGCATATTCTTCCACGTACACCCAAATGGCGACCATGCGTGGAATCATGATACTCCTGAATAAGCTTCAACTGTTTATCTGTACAATCTATTCTCATTGTTTCACTGTATAAAATAACTCTCAATCTATCCTTCCTACTTACTTGTGTATTGTTGAAGATACGTTTGAATGACTCAATGTCTATAATATCAAATATTTTATCATTTTTACTCAATGCCAATTCGCCCGTTCTCGAATTACACATTACACTTGTCAGCTTTTCCAAGGTTGTTGATTGATTTTCACTGCACTTTACAACTACACTATTAGATAAACATCTTATGTGTGTACTTTTCGGCTTAGCATCAAGTTCAAATATTACCTTGTTCATTCATTTAAAGTCAGAATTTGAGACACAATCCCATATAAATACTTCCTGGGTGACTTCCTTGGCATAGCTTTTCCCATCCTTCTTATTATAGCTAATATTCTGTTTACCTCATCCCTTGTTGGGATCATTGCTTTTAAACTCTCACAGTTCGGTTTTATCCTCGATGGAGCATCTGCATTAGCGTTCATTTTTCCTTTTTTAGAAACTATATCGAAGTCATAGTCACACAAGTCCATCAAAGATGACAAGGATAATCTTTGACGGTGGATTTTTATGAGAAAATAATGACACCAAAGGTCTATGATCTGTTACCACAGTGAATTTTCTCCCATAAAGATATGGCCTGAAAAATTTTATTCCACAATGAATCGCAAGCAGCTCCTTCTCAATTATTGGTTTATTGAGATCATGTTTTGATAACGTCGAGCTGGCGTAAGATATAGGTAAATCACTTCCAACTCTCCCCTGCGATAATAAAGCCCCAAGGGCATAGCTCGATGCATCTGTGGTCAATAGGAATGGTTTCGAAAAATCTGGGTACTGTAATATCGGTGGGTTTAATAATTTACACTTCAGTGTATTGAATGCTTTCTGGCATTGATCATTCCATTGGAAAACTGCGTTTTTCTTCGCAAGATCATTCAGACTTCTCAATATCGGCAAATTTAGGTATAAACCTTCTGTAATAATTACAAAATGCCACAAATCGTTTAACTTCGTCAGCATTCGTATGTGTCGGGTATATCTTTATGATATCATCTTTTGCGGGTTCTGTCCTGATACCTTTATTTGCAATAAGATGTCCCAAATAGACAACCTCTGATTTAAAAAAACAACACTTATTCGCATTCAACTTTAGGTTAAATTTTCGTAGTCGGAGAAATACATCAATAAGGTTATTATTATGATGCCTCAAACTTCATCCATAAACAATGATGTCGTCCACATAAAGAAACGCGGAAGCATCCAAACCTGTCATTGCTATGGTCAACATTCTTTGGAATATATTATATATTTTTATTTGAATGACAGTCTCTTAAATTGATAATGGCCATTTCCTGTTGAGAAGGCAGTTAGAGGACGTGATTCCTTTTTGAGGCCTACTTGATGGAACGAACTGGTCATGACCAGCTTTGAGAAATATTGGGCCCTACTCAGCTTATCTAAAACGTCTTCCAACCTTGTCAACGGAAACTTGTCATTGACAATTTTTTCATTCAATCTTCTGTAATCAACAACCAGGCGCCATTTTTTACTCCCATCTGTACTCTTTTTCGGTACTATTAATAATGGCAAATTATATGGACTCACTGAATCTTCTATAATATCTTCCTTAATTAACTTATTTACCTGCATGTTTATCTCTTAAATTTGAGACTCTGGTAATCTTTAATTCTTTATATATACGGGTGTGCTATCTGTAGTTTGTATGCGAAGTTCATAAAAATTGTTGACACTTAACTTCTCACCTGTAATGTGAAAAATGTCCTGGAACTCATTTATAATGGTTTTAACTGTCTCTCTGGCATATGTGTCAACCGATCCTATATCCAGGCTTTCAAATAGTGCATTCGCTCTTGCATTGGTATTTCTCTCATATTTATTGTTAGCGTAATACACATCGTACTCTCCTAAATTCCTGATATACAAATTTATACCTTGTAATTCAATAGATATACTATTAGTGTTCAAGTCCATTCTGGGGTATTAAACAATTAGCCACTTCCTTATTCAGTATCACGCTATACTCTTTTATCTTCAATTCAATTGGAATGATAACCTCAGATCGCGCGGGCAGAACAATGTTATTTATTTTATGTTTTGAGTGTAATGGTAATATTGAGACGTCCGCCCCCGTGTCAATCAGAAATGTTAAATTCTTGCCTATGGTTGTGCACCTCAGCGTTAAATATGCCATTGATTTCAGTGAAATATTGTAAATCTTTATATTTAGTCTTCGTGGACAATTTCTTCCGTCATCCTAAATTGGACACGTGTTGTAAGTGGCCGGCCTTCGGCCGCGGCTTGAGTTTTCTCCTCTGAGTATGTCCCTCGCCGGCTAATGCGAATCAAAGTTTTCTAAATTTGACACTTTTTGTAAATAGCCGGCCTTCGGCCGGGACTTGATATTTTCTAATCTGAATATGTCCAACACCGGCTAAGGCGAACCAAAGTTTTCTAAATTGGATACCTTTTGTAACCAATGACGGCTACGCGAGATAAACTTTTTTACTGAAAATATAATTTTAATGAACTGGTTAGAATCGGGTTATGCGGATGGAAGGACACAATTCATTAATCTCTGCCATCTATATATTATAATTACTAAAAATATATTCATTTATTACAAAATTATGTATTACAAAATATTTCTTCAAATATATTTACTAGTGTGAACCCCCCTTACGAAATCAAAGCATTGCAATCACCAAAGATTAATCTATCTCATTCGAATCAACTCCGATTGTGGTTACTGGTTATTATTGTACCCGACTAGTTGTTATTGTTGATAAATGTGATAATTCCTTTTCTATAGTTTCTACTTCTTAATTCTTCTTATTTTTCTTGTGGTTTTTTACTATTCCTTGTAATTCTTAAATTTTTATTATTTTTAGTGCAATAATAATAATAAGCAATAATTATAGCTTAATTTTCCCATAATTTTAAGATTTTAATATTTAAGTGCAATAAATAATAGTTTTTATAGGGTAAAAACGTCTATTTAATAAAATAAATTTTTATTTTCTACTTCGTAATCATTGTTGTGTTTAGTTTTACTTCATTAATTTTTTCTTTGTTGCATTTGTGTTTCAAAGTCGCCCACTAGAATCCATAGTTCGGATGCAATGTGCCTCGGTGGTGGAGGATCAGCGTAAATAGCAGACTTCAAACCAGCCAATCGTCTACGCAATCTCACGATCTTACTACCTCTTCTAAGCTTTGGCTTCTCTGTTGATGGATATGTCATCCTTCTTCCTTTGCTGTCTAGCCAAATATTCTTTTATGGACAGACGGGATGGACCAGGAGTTGTCGCTGGAATCTCGGCTTCCACTGGTAATCTTTCCAAGTCTGGCAGGATCGCCATGTGATGCCCACTACTCTGGGAAGTTATTTTTAGGCCTGCCTAATATTTTAGCCTGCGCTTAAAAACGCCCCTGGCTGCAAAAATTGAGTTTTTTGTATTTTTGCCGGCACAAAATAATGTCAGCGGCAAAATATTTATGAAGTACTTTATTTAGCGTTAAAGAAAAACAAGTAAAAAAACTGTAAGTTCGGCCGGGCCGAACTTTTAATACCCTCCACCATTTGGTACAAATTTGGCAATTTTCAAAAAAAAAAATCTGTTAAAATCTTAAAAATGCCGAATGGCTATACGACGACGTGGACCTGCATAGTCAAATTTTGTCATAAGTTATTACAATATTTAAATGCGAAACTTGAAGAAAAATCTGTTTAAAATATAGCTAAAATCATCAAAATGCTGAATATAGGGGGTACCGTTATATGGGGGCCATACGATGACGTGGACCTGCACAGACAATTTTCTGGGATGGGCTGAAGTATCCATTACGAACTTCACATGCGAAATTTAAAACAATCCCGGTAAATAATGCCGCTAAAATCATCAAAATACCGAATATCGGGGGGTACGGTATATGGTGGCTATACGAAGGCGGGGACCTACATGGCCCATTTTCTGTTTTATGCTGCAGTATGTATTACGAACTTCAAGCACCAAATTTGGAACGATTCCGTTAAATAATGTCGCTAAAATTATCAAAATACCGAATATCGGGGGGTACCGTTATATGGGGGCTATACCAAGACGTGGACCTACATGGCCCATTTTCTTTCTTATGCTGCAGTATGTATTACGAACTTCAAACACCAAATTTGGAACGATTCCTTTAAATAATGTCGCTAAAATCATCAAAATACCGAATATCGGGGGGTACCGTTATATGGGGGCTATACGAAGACGTGAACCTACATGGCCCATTTTCTTTTTTATGCTGCAGTATGTATTACGAACTTCAAACACCAAATTTGGAACGATTCCTTTAAATAATGTCGCTAAAATCATCAAAATACCGAATAACGGGAGGTACCGTTATATGGGGGCTACATGAAAACGTGGACCTATACATATAATGTTACCCCACTGGAGCTAGAATCCATTACGACTTACAGAGGTCAATTTTTAGACAAATCCGTGGAAAAATGTGGCAAAAATAATCAAAATACCGAATATCGGGAGGTACCGTTATATGGGGGCTATACCAAAACGTGGACCGATATATCCCATTTCCAATACCAACCATCCTAGGGACAATACACACACTTGTGCCAAATTTCAAAGGTCTACGTCAAATAATGTGGGCTCTATCGTGATTTCAACAGACAGACAGACGGACAGACAGACAGACAGACGGACAGACAGACGGACATCGCTAAATCGTCTTAGAATTTTATGCTGATTATGAATATATATACTTTATGGGGTCTACGACGAATATTTAGAGGTGTTACAAACGGAATGACAAAGTTAATATACCCTCCTACCCATGGTGGAGGGTATAAAAAAACGTTTTAATCTTGTGCCAACAGTTCGGCAGTTAAAACTTAATAGACTTTATTTCAGAATTATGTTGCCTTATAAGTTATTATAACGGTGTTTCTTAATTATAATTTTTATCATCTAATATCCTTAAAAATAAACAATAAAAAATAATTTCAGAAACAAAGCAAGACTTAAGATAAAAGATGTTTGGAAATTAGGAAGACAGGGATCTCTAGTTCAGTGTATCGATAACAAACGATTACACTACACCCTCACCCTTTAAAAAAATAATTTTTATGCAATAAAAATTATGTAACAGTCTTTGCATCTTTCATCTCCATGGGAAAAGCTACAATATATTTTGTTAGTTCGCATTGTGCTGTGAGAACATACTGATAGTTCCCGGATATTCTAAGGGGGCCTACAGTGTCTACAGATACGATCTCAAAGCTTGTCGTTGGTGTGTCAGTTTTCGAAAAACGTTCTTTCGAATGTCTAACCTGTTTATTTAATTTGCACTGTGGGCAGTTCGAGACGTAGTTCTTCATCATTCTGTGCATATTCTTCCACGTACACCCAAATGGCGACCATGCGTGGAATCATGATACTCCTGAATAAGCTTCAACTGTTTATCTGTACAATCTATTCTCATTGTTTCACTGTATAAAATAACTCTCAATCTATCCTTCCTACTTACTTGTGTATTGTTGAAGATACGTTTGAATGACTCAATGTCTATAATATCAAATATTTTATCATTTTTACTCAATGCCAATTCGCCCGTTCTCGAATTACACATTACACTTGTCAGCTTTTCCAAGGTTGTTGATTGATTTTCACTGCACTTTACAACTACACTATTAGATAAACATCTTATGTGTGTACTTTTCGGCGTAGCATCAAGTTCAAATATTACCTTGTTCATTCATTTAAAGTCAGAATTTGAGACACAATCCCATATAAATACTTCCTGGGTGACTTCCTTGGCATAGCTTTTCCCATCCTTCTTATTATAGCTAATATTCTGTTTACCTCATCCCTTGTTGGGATCATTGCTTTTAAACTCTCACAGTTCGGTTTTATCCTCGATGGAGCATCTGCATTAGCGTTCATTTTTCCTTTTTTAGAAACTATATCGAAGTCATAGTCACACAAGTCCATCAAAGATGACAAGGATAATCTTTGACGGTGGATTTTTATGAGAAAATAATGACACCAAAGGTCTATGATCTGTTACCACAGTGAATTTTCTCCCATAAAGATATGGCCTGAAAAATTTTATTCCCCAATGAATCGCAAGCAGCTCCTTCTCAATTATTGGTTTATTGAGATCATGTTTTGATAACGTCGAGCTGGCGTAAGATATAGGTAAATCACTTCCAACTCTCCCCTGCGATAATAAAGCCCCAAGGGCATAGCTCGATGCATCTGTGGTCAATAGGAATGGTTTCGAAAAATCTGGGTACTGTAATATCGGTGGGTTTAATAATTTACACTTCAGTGTATTGAATGCTTTCTGGCATTGATCATTCCATTGGAAAACTGCGTTTTTCTTCGCAAGATCATTCAGACTTCTCAATATCGGCAAATTTAGGTATAAACCTTCTGTAATAATTACAAAATGCCACAAATCGTTTAACTTCGTCAGCATTCGTATGTGTCGGGTATATCTTTATGATATCATCTTTTGCGGGTTCTGTCCTGATACCTTTATTTGCAATAAGATGTCCCAAATAGACAACCTCTGATTTAAAAAAACAACACTTATTCGCATTCAACTTTAGGTTAAATTTTCGTAGTCGGAGAAATACATCAATAAGGTTATTATTATGATGCCTCAAACTTCATCCATAAACAATGATGTCGTCCACATAAAGAAACGCGGAAGCATCCAAACCTGTCATTGCTATGGTCAACATTCTTTGGAATATATTATATATTTTTATTTGAATGACAGTCTCTTAAATTGATAATGGCCATTTCCTGTTGAGAAGGCAGTTAGAGGACGTGATTCCTTTTTGAGGCCTACTTGATGGAACGAACTGGTCATGACCAGCTTTGAGAAATATTGGGCCCTACTCAGCTTATCTAAAACGTCTTCCAACCTTGTCAACGGAAACTTGTCATTGACAATTTTTTCATTCAATCTTCTGTAATCAACAACCAGGCGCCATTTTTTACTCCCATCTGTACTCTTTTTCGGTACTATTAATAATGGCAAATTATATGGACTCACTGAATCTTCTATAATATCTTCCTTAATTAACTTATTTACCTGCATGTTTATCTCTTAAATTTGAGACTCTGGTAATCTTTAATTCTTTATATATACGGGTGTGCTATCTGTAGTTTGTATGCGAAGTTCATAAAAATTGTTGACACTTAACTTCTCACCTGTAATGTGAAAAATGTCCTGGAACTCATTTATAATGGTTTTAACTGTCTCTCTGGCATATGTGTCAACCGATCCTATATCCAGGCTTTCAAATAGTGCATTCGCTCTTGCATTGGTATTTCTCTCATATTTATTGTTAGCGTAATACACATCGTACTCTCCTAAATTCCTGATATACAAATTTATACCTTGTAATTCAATAGATATACTATTAGTGTTCAAGTCCATTCTGGGGTATTAAACAATTAGCCACTTCCTTATTCAGTATCACGCTATACTCTTTTATCTTCAATTCAATTGGAATGATAACCTCAGATCGCGCGGGCAGAACAATGATATTTATTTTATGTTTTGAGTGTAATGGTAATATTGAGACGTCCGCCTCCGTGTCAATCAGAAATGTTAAATTCTTGCCTATGGTTGTGCACCTCAGCGTTAAATATGCCATTGATTTCAGTGAAATATTGTAAATCTTTATATTTGGTCTTCGTGGACAATTTCTTCCGTCATCCTAAATTGGACACGGCTAATGCGAATCAAAGTTTTCTAAATTTGACACTTTTTGTAAATAGCCGGCCTTCGGCCGGGACTTGATATTTTCTAATCTGAATATGTCCAACACCGGCTAAGGCGAACCAAAGTTTTCTAAATTGGATACCTTTTGTAACCAATGACGGCTACGCGAGATAAACTTTTTTACTGAAAATATAATTTTAATGAACTGGTTAGAATCGGGTTATGCGGATGGAAGGACACAATTCATTAATCTCTGCCATCTATATATTATAATTACTAAAAATATATTCATTTATTACAAAATTATGTATTACAAAATATTTCTTCAAATATATTTACTAGTGTGAACCCCCCTTACGAAATCAAAGCATTGCAATCACCAAAGATTAATCTATCTCATTCGAATCAACTCCGATTGTGGTTACTGGTTATTATTGTACCCGACTAGTTGTTATTGTTGATAAATGTGATAATTCCTTTTCTATAGTTTCTACTTCTTAATTCTTCTTATTTTTCTTGTGGTTTTTTACTATTCCTTGTAATTCTTAAATTTTTATTATTTTTAGTGCAATAATAATAATAAGCAATAATTATAGCTTAATTTTCCCATAATTTTAAGATTTTAATATTTAAGTGCAATAAATAATAGTTTTTATAGGGTAAAAACGTCTATTTAATAAAATAAATTTTTATTTTCTACTTCGTAATCATTGTTGTGTTTAGTTTTACTTCATTAATTTTTTCTTTGTTGCATTTGTGTTTCAAAGTCGCCCACTAGAATCCATAGTTCGGATGCAATGTGCCTCGGTGGTGGAGGATCAGCGTAAATAGCAGACTTCAAACCAGCCAATCGTCTACGCAATCTCACGATCTTACTACCTCTTCTAAGCTTTGGCTTCTCTGTTGATGGATATGTCATCCTTCTTCCTTTGCTGTCTAGCCAAATATTCTTTTATGGACAGACGGGATGGACCAGGAGTTGTCGCTGGAATCTCGGCTTCCACTGGTAATCTTTCCAAGTCTGGCAGGATCGCCATGTGATGCCCACTACTCTGGGAAGTTATTTTTAGGCCTGCCTAATATTTTAGCCTGCGCTTAAAAACGCCCCTGGCTGCAAAAATTGAGTTTTTTGTATTTTTGCCGGCACAAAATAATGTCAGCGGCAAAATATTTATGAAGTACTTTATTTAGCGTTAAAGAAAAACAAGTAAAAAAACTGTAAGTTCGGCCGGGCCGAACTTTTAATACCCTCCACCATTTGGTACAAATTTGGCAATTTTCAAAAAAAAAAATCTGTTAAAATCTTAAAAATGCCGAATGGCTATACGACGACGTGGACCTGCATAGTCAAATTTTGTCATAAGTTATTACAATATTTAAATGCGAAACTTGAAGAAAAATCTGTTTAAAATATAGCTAAAATCATCAAAATGCTGAATATAGGGGGTACCGTTATATGGGGGCCATACGATGACGTGGACCTGCACAGACAATTTTCTGGGATGGGCTGAAGTATCCATTACGAACTTCACATGCGAAATTTAAAACAATCCCGGTAAATAATGCCGCTAAAATCATCAAAATACCGAATATCGGGGGGTACGGTATATGGTGGCTATACGAAGGCGGGGACCTACATGGCCCATTTTCTGTTTTATGCTGCAGTATGTATTACGAACTTCAAGCACCAAATTTGGAACGATTCCGTTAAATAATGTCGCTAAAATTATCAAAATACCGAATATCGGGGGGTACCGTTATATGGGGGCTATACCAAGACGTGGACCTACATGGCCCATTTTCTTTCTTATGCTGCAGTATGTATTACGAACTTCAAACACCAAATTTGGAACGATTCCTTTAAATAATGTCGCTAAAATCATCAAAATACCGAATATCGGGGGGTACCGTTATATGGGGGCTATACGAAGACGTGAACCTACATGGCCCATTTTCTTTTTTATGCTGCAGTATGTATTACGAACTTCAAACACCAAATTTGGAACGATTCCTTTAAATAATGTCGCTAAAATCATCAAAATACCGAATAACGGGAGGTACCGTTATATGGGGGCTACATGAAAACGTGAACCTATACATATAATGTTACCCCACTGGAGCTAGAATCCATTACGACTTACAGAGGTCAATTTTTAGACAAATCCGTGGAAAAATGTGGCAAAAATAATCAAAATACCGAATATCGGGAGGTACCGTTATATGGGGGCTATACCAAAACGTGGACCGATATATCCCATTTCCAATACCAACCATCCTAGGGACAATACACACACTTGTGCCAAATTTCAAAGGTCTACGTCAAATAATGTGGGCTCTATCGTGATTTCAACAGACAGACAGACGGACAGACAGACAGACAGACGGACAGACAGACGGACATCGCTAAATCGTCTTAGAATTTTATGCTGATTATGAATATATATACTTTATGGGGTCTACGACGAATATTTAGAGGTGTTACAAACGGAATGACAAAGTTAATATACCCTCCTACCCATGGTGGAGGGTATAAAAAAACGTTTTAATCTTGTGCCAACAGTTCGGCAGTTAAAACTTAATAGACTTTATTTCAGAATTATGTTGCCTTATAAGTTATTATAACGGTGTTTCTTAATTATAATTTTTATCATCTAATATCCTTAAAAATAAACAATAAAAAATAATTTCAAAAACAAAGCAAGACTTAAGATAAAAGATGTTTGGAAATTAGGAAGACAGGGATCTCTAGTTCAGTGTATCGATAACAAACGATTACACTACACCCTCACCCTTTAAAAAAATAATTTTTATGCAATAAAAATTATGTAACAGTCTTTGCATCTTTCATCTCCATGGGAAAAGCTACAATATATTTTGTTAGTTCGCATTGTGCTGTGAGAACATACTGATAGTTCCCGGATATTCTAAGGGGGCCTACAGTGTCTACAGATACGATCTCAAAGCTTGTCGTTGGTGTGTCAGTTTTCGAAAAACGTTCTTTCGAATGTCTAACCTGTTTATTTAATTTGCACTGTGGGCAGTTCGAGACGTAGTTCTTCATCATTCTGTGCATATTCTTCCACGTACACCCAAATGGCGACCATGCGTGGAATCATGATACTCCTGAATAAGCTTCAACTGTTTATCTGTACAATCTATTCTCATTGTTTCACTGTATAAAATAACTCTCAATCTATCCTTCCTACTTACTTGTGTATTGTTGAAGATACGTTTGAATGACTCAATGTCTATAATATCAAATATTTTATCATTTTTACTCAATGCCAATTCGCCCGTTCTCGAATTACACATTACACTTGTCAGCTTTTCCAAGGTTGTTGATTGATTTTCACTGCACTTTACAACTACACTATTAGATAAACATCTTATGTGTGTACTTTTCGGCTTAGCATCAAGTTCAAATATTACCTTGTTCATTCATTTAAAGTCAGAATTTGAGACACAATCCCATATAAATACTTCCTGGGTGACTTCCTTGGCATAGCTTTTCCCATCCTTCTTATTATAGCTAATATTCTGTTTACCTCATCCCTTGTTGGGATCATTGCTTTTAAACTCTCACAGTTCGGTTTTATCCTCGATGGAGCATCTGCATTAGCGTTCATTTTTCCTTTTTTAGAAACTATATCGAAGTCATAGTCACACAAGTCCATCAAAGATGACAAGGATAATCTTTGACGGTGGATTTTTATGAGAAAATAATGACACCAAAGGTCTATGATCTGTTACCACAGTGAATTTTCTCCCATAAAGATATGGCCTGAAAAATTTTATTCCCCAATGAATCGCAAGCAGCTCCTTCTCAATTATTGGTTTATTGAGATCATGTTTTGATAACGTCGAGCTGGCGTAAGATATAGGTAAATCACTTCCAACTCTCCCCTGCGATAATAAAGCCCCAAGGGCATAGCTCGATGCATCTGTGGTCAATAGGAATGGTTTCGAAAAATCTGGGTACTGTAATATCGGTGGGTTTAATAATTTACACTTCAGTGTATTGAATGCTTTCTGGCATTGATCATTCCATTGGAAAACTGCGTTTTTCTTCGCAAGATCATTCAGACTTCTCAATATCGGCAAATTTAGGTATAAACCTTCTGTAATAATTACAAAATGCCACAAATCGTTTAACTTCGTCAGCATTCGTATGTGTCGGGTATATCTTTATGATATCATCTTTTGCGGGTTCTGTCCTGATACCTTTATTTGCAATAAGATGTCCCAAATAGACAACCTCTGATTTAAAAAAACAACACTTATTCGCATTCAACTTTAGGTTAAATTTTCGTAGTCGGAGAAATACATCAATAAGGTTATTATTATGATGCCTCAAACTTCATCCATAAACAATGATGTCGTCCACATAAAGAAACGCGGAAGCATCCAAACCTGTCATTGCTATGGTCAACATTCTTTGGAATATATTATATATTTTTATTTGAATGACAGTCTCTTAAATTGATAATGGCCATTTCCTGTTGAGAAGGCAGTTAGAGGACGTGATTCCTTTTTGAGGCCTACTTGATGGAACGAACTGGTCATGACCAGCTTTGAGAAATATTGGGCCCTACTCAGCTTATCTAAAACGTCTTCCAACCTTGTCAACGGAAACTTGTCATTGACAATTTTTTCATTCAATCTTCTGTAATCAACAACCAGGCGCCATTTTTTACTCCCATCTGTACTCTTTTTCGGTACTATTAATAATGGCAAATTATATGGACTCACTGAATCTTCTATAATATCTTCCTTAATTAACTTATTTACCTGCATGTTTATCTCTTAAATTTGAGACTCTGGTAATCTTTAATTCTTTATATATACGGGTGTGCTATCTGTAGTTTGTATGCGAAGTTCATAAAAATTGTTGACACTTAACTTCTCACCTGTAATGTGAAAAATGTCCTGGAACTCATTTATAATGGTTTTAACTGTCTCTCTGGCATATGTGTCAACCGATCCTATATCCAGGCTTTCAAATAGTGCATTCGCTCTTGCATTGGTATTTCTCTCATATTTATTGTTAGCGTAATACACATCGTACTCTCCTAAATTCCTGATATACAAATTTATACCTTGTAATTCAATAGATATACTATTAGTGTTCAAGTCCATTCTGGGGTATTAAACAATTAGCCACTTCCTTATTCAGTATCACGCTATACTCTTTTATCTTCAATTCAATTGGAATGATAACCTCAGATCGCGCGGGCAGAACAATGATATTTATTTTATGTTTTGAGTGTAATGGTAATATTGAGACGTCCGCCTCCGTGTCAATCAGAAATGTTAAATTCTTGCCTATGGTTGTGCACCTCAGCGTTAAATATGCCATTGATTTCAGTGAAATATTGTAAATCTTTATATTTGGTCTTCGTGGACAATTTCTTCCGTCATCCTAAATTGGACACGGCTAATGCGAATCAAAGTTTTCTAAATTTGACACTTTTTGTAAATAGCCGGCCTTCGGCCGGGACTTGATATTTTCTAATCTGAATATGTCCAACACCGGCTAAGGCGAACCAAAGTTTTCTAAATTGGATACCTTTTGTAACCGATGACGGCTACGCGAGATAAACTTTTTTACTGAAAATATAATTTTAATGAACTGGTTAGTATCGGGTTATGCGGATGGAAGGACACAATTCATTAATCTCTGCCATCTATATATTATAATTACTAAAAATATATTCATTTATTACAAAATTATGTATTACAAAATATTTCTTCAAATATATTTACTAGTGTGAACCCCCTTACGAAATCAAAGCATTGCAATCACCAAAGATTAATCTATCTCATTCGAATCAACTCCGATTGTGGTTACTGGTTATTATTGTACCCGACTAGTTGTTATTGTTGATAAATGTGATAATTCCTTTTCTATAGTTTCTACTTCTTAATTCTTCTTATTTTTCTTGTGGTTTTTTACTATTCCTTGTAATTCTTAAATTTTTAATTATTATTATTATTTTTAGTGCAATAATAATAATAAGCAATAATTATAGCTTAATTTTCCCATAATTTTAAGATTTTAATATTTAAGTGCAATAAATAATAGTTTTTATAGGGTAAAAACGTCTATTTAATAAAATAAATTTTTATTTTCTACTTCGTAATCATTGTTGTGTTTAGTTTTACTTCATTAATTTTTTCTTTGTTGCATTTGTGTTTCAATGTCGCCCACAAGAATCCATAGTTCGGATGCAATGTGCCTCGGTGGTGGAGGATCAGCGTAAATAGCAGACTTCAAACCAGCCAATCGTCTACGCAATCTCACGATCTTACCACCTCTTCTAAGCTTTGGCTTCTCTGTTGATGGATATGTCATCCTTCTTCCTTTGCTGTCTAGCCAAATATTCTTTTATGGACAGACGGGATGGACCAGGAGTTGTTGTCGCTGGAATCTCGGCTTCCACTGGTAATCTTTCCAAGTCTGGCAGGATCGCCATGTGGTGCCCACTACTCTGGGAAGTTATTTTTAGGCCTGCCTAATATTTTAGCCTGCGCTTAAAAACGCCCCTGGCTGCAAAAATTGAGTTTTTTGTATTTTTGCCGGCACAAAATAATGTCAGCGGCAAAATATTTATGAAGTACTTTATTTAGTGTTAAAGAAAAAAAAAAAAAAAACGTTTTAATCTTGTGCCAACAGTTCGGCAGTTAAAACTTAATAGACTTTATTTCAGAATTATGTTGCCTTATAAGTTATTATAACGGTGTTTCTTAATTATAATTTTTATCATCTAATATCCTTAAAAATAAACAATAAAAAATAATTTCAGAAACAAAGCAAGACTTAAGATAAAAGATGTTTGGAAATTAGGAAGATAGGGATCTCTAGTTCAGTGTATCGATAACAAACGATTACACTACACCCTCACCCTTTAAAAAAATAATTTTTATGCAATAAAAATTATGTAACAGTCTTTGCATCTTTCATCTCCATGGGAAAAGCTACAATATATTTTGTTAGTTCGCATTGTGCTGTGAGAACATACTGATAGTTCCCGGATATTCTAAGGGGACCTACAGTGTCTACAGATACCATCTCAAAGCTTGTCGTTGGAGTGTCAGTTTTCGAAAAACGT